ATTGTGAACTTACAACTTTATGCTACATCGTTTTCTTAATCAGAGATTACCATACAGGGTAAACACTTCCTAGAAAAAGACCAACTATTATGTAAACAGAATTAATGTTGATAAAAAATCATACAAGCCTTATCTAAATAAGCAGTTGCAAGAATCCATACACGGAGATGCTAAGGAATAAAGTTTACTCTTTGAAATCCAATGCAATTGATGTAAATTACGCTCACTAACTTGACCCTAGAATGGCTTACACTTTTGAGTCTTGTCAATTTCCTGTATATTAGCTCATTTTCCTAGGTATGGAGCTTGCACACTTATGGCTTTCAATTCAGCCTGTACACTAATTTAGGCCTAAACCCAAACTGATAAATTTAACTGCTTTGAACTGGATCTAGTATGATGCATTTTAGACACAGAGCAGTTTACTAACATATTGGGGACTCGGGTGTTGTCTGTCTATTGATAGTTTTCCTGAGCTCTAAATTATATCAGCTAAGGTTGATTGAGATTTAGATATTTCATTTCTTAAGTTCTTGAAACTTGAATACTAGTATCACCCTCTTGTATATTGTGATTCATAATGCCATTTTATTTCAGACTGGCAAGAAACAACAAGAAGACAATGGATGTGTTGATGTGGCCGTAGGGAATGATCAAACAGATGAGAAAACTAGAAAAAGGGATATCGCTTGTAATGGAGAAAACCCAATGATGGATCCTCATGGGGTCCCCTGCATGGTGGAGATATTTCATTTCCTATGTTCTCTTCTGAATGTGATGGAGTCCATTGAAATTGGTTCAAGATCCAACCCTATAGCATATGAAGAAGATGTCCCATTATTTGCGCTGGGTTTAATTAATTCAGCCATAGAACTAGGTGGTGCTGCTTTTGCAAATCATCCCAAGTTGTTGGCTCTGATACGGGAGGAATTGTTCCACAATCTGATGCGTTTTGGGTTGTCCATGAGTCCTTTAATTCTTTCGACAGTTTGTAGCATTGTTTTAAATTTGTATCATCATCTGCGTTTTAAGTTAAAGCTACAACTTGAAGCCTTTTTCTCTGGTGTTTTACTGAAGATTGCCCAGAGCAAGCATGGAGCATCTTATCAACTTCAAGAGGTTGCCATGGAAACACTTGTTGACTTCTGCAGACAGCATATGTTCGTGGCAGAAATGTATGCAAATTATGATTGTGACATATCCTGCAGCAATATTTTTGAAGAACTTGCCAACCTGTTATCAAAAAGCACATTTCCAGTTAATAGTCCACTTTCAGCTCTAAATACTCTTGCCCTGGAGGGTCTAATTGCCATGATTCAGGGTATGGCTGAGAGAATAGGCCAGGATTCATTAGTTTCAGATCAAGGTTCATTTAATCTTGATGGATTTAGACCATTTTGGGTAGAAATATGCAAGGACTATAATGATCCTGATCATTGGGTTCCTTTTGTCCATAAGATGAAGCAAATAAAGAAAAAGTTGTTGGTTGGTGTTGATCACTTTAACCGTGATCCAAAGAAGGGTATGGAATATCTCCAAGCAGTGCATCTGTTACCTGATAAACTTGATCCAAAAAGTGTAGCATGTTTCTTTAGATTTTCAAATGGCTTGGATAAGAATCTTGTTGGGGACTTCTTGGGAAGTCATGAAGAATTTTATATTCAAGTGCTTCATGAATTTTCAAGGACATTTGATTTTCAGGATATGAACCTAGACACTGCCTTGCGTATATTCTTGGAGACGTTCAGATTGCCTGGAGAATCACAGAAAATACACAGGGTGCTTGAAGCGTTCTCTGAACGATATTATGAGCAATCACCAGATGTTCTGGCTAACAAAGATGCTGCACTTGTGTTATCATATTCACTAATCATGCTGAACACGGATCAACACAATACACAGGTCAAGAAGAAGATGACAGAGGAAGATTTCATCCGCAACAACCGGAGAATAAACGGAGGAAATGACCTCCCTCGAGAATTTTTATCTGAGCTTTACCACTCCATCTGTGAGAATGAGATCCGGATTTCCTCAGATCGAGGTGCTGATACCCCAGTGCTGCCACCAAGTCATTGGATTGGTCTAGTCCACAAATCGAGGCAAACTTCCCCGTTTATTGTCTGTGATCATGGACCTTATCTTGATTATGATATGTTCGCTATGCTGTCTGGTCAGACAATTGCTTCCATCTCAGTGGTTTTAGATCATGTGGAGCAGGAAGATGTCTGGCAAACATGCATTGATGGATTTCTTGCCATTGCCAAAATTTCAGCCTCCTACAACTTTGATGATGTATTGGATGATTTAGTAGTATCTCTTTGCAAGTTCACAACTCTTTTGCTTCCATCATATACCGATGAATTTATTGTTACATTTGCCCAAGATAATAAAGCTAGATTGGCCACTTTAGCTGTCTTTACAATAGCAAACAAGTATGGGGACCATATTCGTTCTGGTTGGAAAAACATCCTGGAATGCATTTTGAGCTTGCATAACTTTGGCCTTCTTCCTACTCGTCTTTTTAATGATGCTGCTGATGATGTGGAGTCTACTTCTGATGCCTACAAAAGCAAACCTGTTGCAGCTTCACCATCAACACCTCATGTGCCTTCATTGGCTCCATCAAGGAAGTCATCTGGCTTAATGGGCCGATTCAGCCAACTGTTATATCTTGATGCAGAAGAACCTGCGCCTCAGCCAAATGAAAAGCAGCTTGCTGCCCGTCAGCAGACTTTTCAGACTATCAGAATGTCACATGACACCATCTTTGCTGAGAGTAAGTTTTGCAAGCAGAGTCCCTTTCACAGCTTGTCCGGGCCCTCGTGATGGCTGCGGGCCGGCCTCATAAGGGAAATATCTCTCTGGAAGATGAAGAGACTGCAGTATTCTGTCTAGAGTTGCTGATTGCAATCACGATAAACAACCGGGATAGGATAATGCTCCTTTGGCAAGTTGTTTATGAGCACATAGCAAGTATTGTCCAATCAACAACAATGCCTTGTTCTTTAGTAGAGAAGGCTGTTTTTGGTGTGCTTCGGATATGCCAAAGGTTGCTTCCTTACAAGGAAAACCTCACAGATGAGCTCCTCAAGTCACTGCAACTCATCTTAAAGCTTGATGCAAGGGTCGCCGATGCTTTTCTTGAACAGATAACCCAGGAGGTGATGCACCTTGTCAAAGCAAACGCTATGCAGATACGATCTAATATGGGCTGGCGGACAATTATATCTCTGCTTTCTATTACAGCTCGGCATCCAGAAGCTTCTGAAGCAGGATTTGAAACACTATCATTCATCATGGCTGATGGGGCCCACCTACTGCCTGCTAATTACATCCTTTGTTTAAATGCGGCAAGCCACTTTGCTGACTCCCGCATTGGAAGTGTTGATCAAGCTGTGAGATCCTTAGACCTGATGGCTGGGTCACTTGTTTGTCTTGTTAGATGGTCTCACAAAACAAAGGATGCTCTGGGGGAAGAGGCTGCTATAAAAATGTCTCAGGATATAACTGAGATGTGGTTGAGGCTGGTACAGGGACTCAGAAAGTTTTGTTTGGATTGGAGAGAAGAGGTGCGAGGTCATGCCATCTTGATGTTGCAGAGGTGCTTGACAGTAGTTGAGGGGATTCACATTTCAACTGATCTGTGGTTGCAGTGTTTTGATCAGCTCATCTTTACAATGCTGGATGAATTGCTGGAACTTGCACCACAAGGTTCGTTGAAGGATTACAGGAGCATAGAAGGAGCAATTTTTCTGTCTCTGAAGCTCATGTTCAAAGTGTTTCTACAATCATTGGAGCATCTGTCACAGTTGCCATCCTTCTGCAAACTATGGTTAGGGTTATTGGATCATACTGAAAGATGCATGAAGATGAAATTTAAAGGTAGACGGAGTGAGAAGATTCCAGAACTTGTCCCTGAACTCCTAAAGAACACTCTACTTATCATGAAAACTAGTGGAATTCTCATGCCAAGTGATCCTGTAGGAGGGGACAGTTTCTGGCAACTAACGTGGTTGCATGTGCACAAAATATGTCCATCCCTTCAATCAGAAGTTTTCCCTTCTAGTGAATTGGAGCAGTTGCAAAAGCAGCAAATTCAAGCTGGATGTAGCCCTCTCTCAGAGGGAAGTGTTCTAGTCTCACCTAGTTAAAACACATACTGAAGATTCATGTGGTTGACAACGCTTCATTTGGTGAAACTGACATTCTTTATCCTTGACCATCATTAGCATGGTGGGAGGATACATTGTGCAGCTGAGAACGTGTCAGGCGTTAGGCGAAATACGTTCATTGAAGCACAAGCTTCAACCTGCTGGAGCAAAGATGGTTTCTGATTTACAAGTTGTGATCTCCATTCTGAATGCTATATGGTGCTTTACTGTTAACAGAGCCTTGTTGGCTTTCGGGGGAAGAATAGGGAGGGTTGCCTCGTGCAATTTTGAGCTTCTATAGCGGTTACTGCACTTTTAAGTTTGATAACTTAGTTGTTACCATTTTTGCTGTACAATATTGACTTGACTACAGATTAGCGATTGATATATGATGGTATGAAAGGTTACTGTTAGTTGATACATTTGGTTTCTTAAAAATCATGTGTTCCAGTTACATATAAGATATAGATTGCTCTTGTACTGTTTGATGCAAGACCATACTGAAAAACATGGATATAAATAAAACACAGCAATATCAAGACAAGTCGAAGAGTGGATCTTCAGAATATAGTACAAAATTGTTTGGTGCTACTTACTTCACTGTATAATTTACTGAACTAGCAAGGATTTACACGCTAAGCATGTGAATTTTGGCAAATTGCTTTCTTAATTTTGTTGTTTAGAACCTGATTCACATACGCTGTCTTGCTTCTGAAAACTTTCTCGGCACAATGTAACTTCATTGAAATCTGCACGAAAAGTTAAGTAGGAACAAAAGCAGACCTTAAACAGGGTGTTAGGGACACCATTAAGCACCTAAAGACTGATTCGATGATGGGCAACAGAAAGGACCAAAAGAAGGAGACGGATGTCCGTTTTCTATAGGCCAATTCCACATTATAAGGCTTTATCATCCATCGATCACATCTACGCAAAGATGGAAGTGTTTGCAAATAGATTTACATACACTCTGAACTGAGATATTTCAGTCTGACACCATAATATGTTAAAAGAAAAACGGTAGAAACAAAGATACACAGAGCGCACAAAAATTGGCAAGTTACAAGTGACACTTATGTTTGATATAACTGCCACCATCTCACTGACAATAACGACAAGAGGATTTTAACCACTCAGCAAGCTTAGTAACCCATATTTAAAGCCCCAAATGCTGAACTTCAATTTTGTCTGAGTCCTCGTCTTTGAAGATGTTTTAACACAAAACGCTCATGCGGCATCAAAAAGCTAGGCATCAGCTCAACCTCATTGAGCAATCTGACTTCTCATTACTTTCAATACAGCCTTCAACATTTCTAAAAACTGCTCAATAGTTTCGATTTGAGCATCAACGGCATCACAAGTACTTGAGCAGTCCTGGTTGTACATGCATTATACCACAAGTTTCATGCAGAGAAATTAGAAGTTGATGTCATTTTATAAATTCAATTTAACAATATTAAAGTCAAAATACTAACATCTATGGCAGCTGCAAAAGCCTTCTTCCTTGCCCTGGTATTTGCAATTTCAAGAGCTGTGCTTCTTACCAAAAGAATCTGCAGGTCAACATTATTGTCAGCCTAAATCAAAGAAATTAAATGGGTGACTGGTATAAATGTCGATAGGGATGGCAATGGGTGGAACAGTTGCGGGGCAAACCCGCATAAGCCCCGCAAAGACCTTAACCCGCCCTACCCCTCCCCACATACACTGATCTACTATTTTCAACCCGCCCCATATAATCCCGCTCCGCATTAGCTGTTTTTTTTGTGTCTGCAAGTCTCAAAAATTCTACTAAGCATGTTTTGAACTCATGTTATGATGCATAATTACACAAGTATACATATACTAATATAGATTGGATTTTTATATACTATAATATTATTATGTATAATTACCGTAGTATTGTAAGTCTCAGAAATTCTAGGTGTATAAGTGACCAAAGGAGGCGCTTTTGTTGTCTTTATAACAAAAAGAAATTCAACATCTAAACTAGGATTATAACATGGTTTAGATAAAACTTAGTCTTTTCAAATATTAACAGTTATTGTAAATAGAAAGAAAAGGCAATTCAGTTTCGTATTTAGCATGTGTTGAAAAATCTATTTAACATGACTTAAAAAATCATTTCAACCTGCACCCGCACCGCCCCACTAAGAATTAAATATATATATTTCAACCCTCCCCACACCCGCAATCATGTACCCAGCATAGGCTTAAACCCGCTCCACCCTGCACCCACCCTGCCCCATTGCCATCCCTAAATGTCGTCAACAAGAAGAATTAAATATTAATACCATTTTTCCACGGAACATGTCCCTCTTGAGAATCTCATAAGAAACATTCAATATCTCTGCATTCTGCAATACAGGCTTTTTAGCAATAATCCTAGCAGAAATGCAACCATGTAAAAGAGAAGTGACCTGAAGCTACTAAGGGCATTGCACAACACTGATAGAACTTTCTGATATGCCCAAAACAGGAGTTCTGTACCTTTCTTATTGTGTTGAAAGCAGTTGGATTTCCTGTTGGTAAGCACCTACATAACATCCCAGCAGGTCGCCAGAATGATTCATGAATACCAGAAAGGTTAACTTGATCAAACGCCGCGGCTTTTAAGATGTCAGAATCATCAGCAAGTTCCTTGAACAGTCTGCAGCTGTGATGAGGAAATCAGGATCAGAAGCAGCATAATCTGCAAGATAACCACAAGAGATATGCAGACACCTTTTACTGGACCCCTTTTGATGTTGTAAAACACGAAATTGTAGACAGCCATAGGACATATGTTGGGTCATATACAAGGCAGAAGTTGATACACATAGATGATACGTCAGCTTTGACAGGAACTCAATTTCAAAGTTAATAACAGAAAGAGTAGTTAATCACATCAAAAGAATAGGAAAGGACATAGAAGTCACGGTAAATAAGGTCAAAAGTTATCTAGAATTAAGAAACATAAACAAGAAAGAGATATCGGAAACGATACTTACACTGATAAAGTTCGGGCAAGATTTCCAGCTCCATCAGGTGACACAGCAACATGATACATAACGTGCTTTAACACATCGAAGTTCAAATCTGTTATTTTAGATTGCCTCTTCCGCTTCATAATTGCTGAAATAAATTCAAGAGAGTCAATGAGGGTTCATTGCTTGACCTCTTTTGATTCATTTTATTGGAAGACAACAGTAGAAGGAAACCAAAAAGCTCAGTTTAAATCTACAAGCCCATAATGTGAATTGCAAGAAAATGTAGAATAAAATAAGATAAGTGAGCCATGTTTTAGAAAACTGCAAAGCTTCTTCACTTATGTAAGCATCACTTCACACCACAAACAGTATCCAGGTATCATCTGAAAATAAAGATTTTAAAGCTCACTAATGAATAGCTTAACAACCTTGGGAATAAATGAATATTGAAAAAGGAACTTGTTAAAAGGGATAATCTGAACAAGATCAGTCAACACTAGCATTAGCTGGCTTACAAGAATGTAGAATCTAAATGAAGAAAGACGAAAAAAATTATGAAGGAGAAGGACAATTTTATGAAGTGAGGTTGAGATTGTTCCTGCTTATTGCTATTGTCATCTGTTTTGAGTTGAGGATCCATCAAAAACAGTATCTCCACCTTTTCAAGGTAGAGATAAAGTATGCGATTACGTTACCCTTCCTATGGGTTAATTGTGGGATTACACTCCGTTTGCTGATGCTGACATATTAGTTTTCAAGACCATATTGTAAGTTACACAACTGATGTTTCACAATCTTTGGCCTAATTTCGGAACTATGAAAAATGTGACACTGACAACATAGTCCAAATCCAAATAAAGAAGAATTTATAAAAGATTCAAATATCCAGGCGTAATTGTTCGCAAAGCAATGCATAGTCCACATTCCATGTTAGAGAAACTTAAAAATGAACAGAAAGGGCCCCACCCAACCCCTACGGAATGAAAGGGAGGGGTAAAGAACCAAAAAAAAAACCCCAATTTATATAACTAAAGAAAACTTCCAGGCTAGTCAAGAAAGATAACATAATGCAACAAGAAACCTAATCTTGAACTATAGGATATACCCAATTTATACTTTATGCCATGAAAGAAAATGGTCTTTTTAACACCAATATTACACACCCAATTTATACTTTATGCCATTAAAGAAAATCGTCTTTTTGACACCCATATAACCCACAGCGAAATCGATTAATACAAAGAAAAACAAATTGAAAAATCAACCAAATTGGAGTACTGAGCATAGAGAAGAAGATAAAGATGCCTAGAAAACACAGTGCAACAAATGTGACAGATTCAAACCATGTATCATAACAAAATCGAAATGGATAAAGAATATCAGTCAAGAATTTGCGATAGTAATAGAGGAAGATGAAAACGTAAAGAACCCAGATACCTATGTCGGTGTATGGCGGAGACAAACGGCTGTGAAATTGGAGACAACATCCAAATAGAGTATAATTGATATAAAAGATCCAAATAGGCAACTTTTGAACTAGTTTAGGAGGTGTAACTGTTCGGTAGCAATGCATAATCCACACTCCATGTTAGTGGAACTTAAAAATCAACAGAAAAGCCCCACCCAGCCCACCAGGACGAAGGGGAGGGGCAAGAAACCCAAAACTGAAACCCGATTTATATATAAATATAAACAAAAAGAAGAAAACTTTAGTCAAGAAAGATAAAATAACGCAACCAAAAAACTAATCTTGAACTATACGATATACCCAGTTCATACCAAGTAAAGGAAATCATCTTTTTAAGGCCTCTATTGCCCTAATCCATTAATACAAAAAACCCACTTGAGAAATCAACCAAACTGGAGTGCTAAGCATAGACAAGAAGATAAAAGATGCCAAGAAAACGCAGAAGTAATTTATTCAAACCGCTTAACGTTGCAAAATCGTAATGGATAAAGAATCTCAGTCAAGAATTTGCGATACCAATAGAGGAGGATGAAAGGTAAAGAACCTGGATGCCTATGTCAACGGTGAATGGCGGAGACAAACGGCGGTGGATGGCGGAGAAGATGGCGGAGATGATACGATGACGACGGTGTCAAACTATGACACTGCTCTCTGAGCCTTTTCACTTTCTGGTCTACTTCTAAAATGAGACAATAAATAGGTTTTTCTTTCAAAATGGAGTATAAGTTTAAAACAGATCTAAATAATTAATTTTTTTTTTTGCTTTATAAATAAAAATTTAAACATATAAATACTTCCCCATACACTTCACTTATCCTCTTTACTGTACTGATGATTAATATTATAATAATATATTAATTAATGTATACGGTTAGGTTTTAGGAGCTAGATTTAGAAATGTATAATTACGAGGATAAAATAAGAAAATAATTATTTTTTTTTGGCTAACATTGTTAATATCACCGATATAAATAGAAGCAATAAAAATACAATCTAAGAAGAACTCGACATTCTTATGATTGGATGATTGCAAGCCTCGAAAGAACCTTTTAATCTAAGGTTAATCTATCCATAGCCTTTTAAAGTTAGCACGATATTAACTTAGACATCTTAACTAAATAATATTCATTTTAGATCTCTAATCTAATGTAGCGTTTTTCTATGTCATTTTAACACTTTTTTAATATTAATAAAAGTACATAAAATATGTATAACGTGTGAAGTGACGAATTAAATAATGTCATGTGTCACTTATATAAAAAGAAGTTATTAAATAATTATTTTTTAAATAAAAATAAAAACTGACCAATGAATTAATAACATATAATATTTTTATCCAAATAATTAAAAAAATAATTTTAAAAATAAATAAATAAAAGGATCCTAGTTGTCTTCTCCAGACCAAACACACACACCCCCGCGCCCTCCACCCACAAAATCATCTTCTCTAAAGCCCAAACCCCTGCATCGGAAGTATCCTACTATGCGCACCATTTGCAGAAACTGCCCCACCCACCATTTGTACGTCATTATTCTCTTAGATAAAATTTTAGCTTAGTTTAAAGAAATTAATATTAAAGTTTTTCAAAAAAAAATTGTGAGTGAATTTATTTTTAGATTTTAAGCATGTTTTTTGTTATTTTTGTCAAATCTTCATTTATAATGGATGAAATTTAACTTAGATAAAATGGTGGCTAAAAATAGGAGGGAGAAGAAGAAGAAATAATGAAAAATTAACTAAAAGCTATTTCACGCGTTGATAAATGAGTCTATCACACTCATTATACCAGGTAAGCAAAAAGTGTCAAAATATCACAACGGGACGTTATATCAAGTGTCTAAAATAAATATTATCTAGTTAAAATGTCTAAGTAAAATATCGTGCCAGCTTTAGAGGACTGGCCTTTAATTTGATACATGTGTTATTTATGCATTAAATCTCTACTAATTTTTTATATAGGTAAGGTACTGTATGCCCTAGTAACATCTCCTCATTAATCTATTTGATGACACTATTTGTAATGTTCCGCCATAGGATAACTGCTTCGAATGCCCCTGATTTTACTGGTAATCTTATCAATCAAAATCTTGCAATCAAGTTTGTTCCACTTCTTAGGAGATAATGGAAGCCCCAAATATTTGATGAGTAATTGTTTTTCTTAATATGATAAAAGTGAAGTAAAAAAACAATAAAAGTAGCCAATTAAAAGTGAATTGGAATTAATAAGGTAAAATTTGATCATCAGACTCAATTTAAATCTTGCTTAAATTTTTATTTTCGTTGAGTTGTGGAATTACTGAGTTTTAAAAATGTTAAAATTCTTGTTAGGAGTAAAATAGTAATTAACGTAATTATTAATAGCTTAGTTTAATCATCGTACTCGTCACAATAATAATTATAATAAATTAATAATTTTGTACTTCTTTATTGATATACCTAAACTCTTAACCATATTATTTTTTAGAATTTCTCGATAAAAATATTGGTTGAATTCAATCCTCAATTTAAATTACTGTTTAAAATATATTTTTTTATAAATAAATTAGTTTATTATACAATTTTTGTTTTTACGACACAAACATATTGTTAAAGAAACAATTAGAACTCAACTCATTTATGCTTGACTCAGTTTGGCGTAGCAACAAGCATCAATGAATTTTATTTGACTCAAAAACTTTTATCTACTTCTTATTCCTATGAAAATAGTAAAGATGAATAGAATATTTTGCATTCTTAAGCTTGTAATAACTACGTAATTGTGATGATTATAACCTCTAATTACGATCCCACTGATTTTTGCATAATGCCTAAAAAAATTATTTTTCTTCTAATGATCTTTTTGTGATACTTGAACAATGTTATGTGACTTTTTGGATATAAAAACAGATTAATATTTTTTGTGATATTTTGATTAAATTTAATAATTTTTCATCAAAAAACAATACTTATTCAGTAACTTTAATGCAGTAAAATAGAAGTCAAGATGCAATAAATAATTATTTTTAGTAATGAAATAATTTAACTTGATCATTTACCAGCATGTTTATTATAGAATAAATACATAAAATAAATATTAGAATTTGTCTACTAATTTTATTTTATCACTTTTAACTTTATAAATAATTATTTATTTTCGTGATTTTATTTAAAGTAAATTAAAATTCACTCAAACAGCTGATGCAGCAACGAAACAATTAAAAGAGAGTGAAAAGTAAGAAATCAAAAAATAAAAATAATATATATTTTGAAAATTCTCGCGGGGCAGGGCACGTGTTTGAGATAAAAGTCTTTTAAATTCGTTGATCCATACTAACTTTTGCATCTGTTTTTTATCTGTTTTGGTCACTGTTTGGTGTTTTTTTTTTCATTCAAATGAAAAAATGTTTTTGAATGGCCAATAAATTAGGAAAAAAAAATGTTTGACATATTTTGTTTCTTTCTTAATACATTCAATAATTTGTTATTCCGTTATATATAATCAATTCAAATTTACTGACAGTTTGGAGGTTAAAAAAATATTAAGCAATGAAAATAATTTAAATTTTTTGGTTAAAAACTTATCACATCTAATATTTGTAATTTTTTAAAAAATTAGGGAGTGCGGAGCAGGGTAATTAAAAAGGGCAACTTCCACGTATAACAAACAAAAAATTCATATTTGTATGCTATAGCAAACTTTGCATAATTGCGCTCCATAGCAAACATAATACTGTATAATTTGCTATACATATACAATTGGATAATTTGCTGGCCTAAATTGTATAATTCGCTGGCCTATTTCGCTGCAATTGTATAATTTGTTTTGCATACACTTGAATCGAATTAAAATGTATGTATATTGCATAATTATAACTGTATAGCAAGAAGATATATGTTTTTCTCGCTTTATACAGAAACAAACACAATATATACACTTTTGTTGCATAAAACTAGAGAAAATTGTATTTCACTGCAATTGTATAATTCACAATTGTATAATTCGTTGGTCTTTTTCTCTGCAATATTTGAAGTAAAATGTTTATAAATTGTATAATTAAGTGTATAATATGAAGATATACATTTTTACATGTTTATATTCAATTTTCTCTCGCTTTATACAAAACAGAAATAGAATTATACACTTCTGTGTATAAAGCGAGAGAGGCGAGCGAGAATGGAGAGTGGCGAGCGAGATTTTTGGGAGAGAGACGCTGGCAAATTTCAGCTAATGTTTGCTATGGAACACAATTAAATCAAACTCTAGCTATTCCATTTAATTTAAGTTATTAGTTTGCTATTATATATAATTTTCCCAATTAAAAATAATAAATAATGCTATGCGGGGCAGGGCGGGTTATAATTTTAGCGGCTTTATGTGAGCTTGCCCACAACCGCCTCGCCCTACCACATTGCAATCCCTACACCAGTTCCTTCTTTCTTTGAAATCCTCCACTCCCACTTTATTTCTTGATCTTCGACCTCTCCATCACCACCCTCCTCCTCTATGTCTTTATGCAAATATGAGACAACTTTGATAGTCTCTTTATGTCTTTTCTCTACGTAAAAAATACTATGAATTACAATCACCATAACATGAAATGAGACAAAAAAAAAATCTATTGGGCCCATACTGTCAGGAGCATTTGTGTCTAGTTATATTAATTACCAGTGATATTTGTTTGGTCTACATGAACAAGAGGGGATGTAGCTCAAATGGTAGAGCGCTCGCTTTGCATGCGAGAGGCACGGAGTTCGATCCCCCGCATCTCCATTTGTTTTTTCTACAAATTGAATGGTGACTAGATTATTCTTATTTCTTATTGACGCCTTGCTTGAAACCCAACAATATGATCATATTGAGTAATGCTTTTCAAAATAGATGAATAGTTTGGTTTTCAAGTTTCTAAACCTAATATGCTCCCTCCGTCCAGAAATGTTTGTCATGTTGCGCTTATCGAAATTTAATTTGACTATTTTTTAAAGGTAAATTAAATTACATTAATTCGATACTTTAAACAAAAAAATTAGATATTCTAAAACGATATAAAAAGTACTATAAATTACAACTTTTTTGTATTAATATGATGAAAAAATGCATTTTAAAATGTTAGTCAAACTTTTTATGGTTTCACTCTAAAAATAGAAATCATAACAAACAATACCGGACAGAGGGAGTAATTCACTACTTTTTTTTTTTTTTTTTGAAATAGAATTAATTCTCTGCTTGTAAGTTGGGACATTACACTTTATATTTATTATGGGTTTGTTTCTCCACCTCTAATTGAATTTGGTGTAATTGAACATAATTATATTGTTTGACATGTTTAGTTGATCATGTAATTATTTGATCAGCAGATAATTTAAGTGTAATTGATATAGTGGAATTATACACTTCAATTCACAAAGAGGTGCTCTCAATTGCTGTTAATTTCTTCTGTTTATTTTTATTTCTATTTTTTGTTTTAATTTTTTTTTATTTCTTATTTTTATTATTCTAAAAGTTTATATTTATTTTATGTTATTTATATTTCATTTTCAATCTTTAGTAGATGTGATTTCATGTAATTTTTGTATTATCGATTATTTTATTGAATAAGATCATAGACTTACATTTTCTTTTGCTTTAAAATCATATTTATGCATGTAATTTTAAAATTTGAAAAATGTCTGGATCGTATATCATCAGCATTGTAATTTGTATGGCAACTCCACACCAAGTGTGTTTGGTACCCAAGGAAAATGTTATGTTTTCCTAGAAATTGCTTCTTGGGAAAGCAAATGGATTATAACATTTTTTAAAAAAATTTTGATTGGCAAGTAGAAAATATTTTTGAAAAAATATTTTTTAATATTTGATTCGTGAATGAAAAGTATTTTTTATTTTTAATTTTAGATTAAAAAATTACTCTTTAGAAAATTAATTTCTTATCCAAAAATCAACCTCAATAATTGATACAGGACTCGACTCCTACATCTAAACTAAGACAAGATTACGATAACTGTTACAAAAGAAAATGACAGTCCCACGGAAGGAGGTGAGGGGGGGGGGGGCAGCTGGGAGGGTATAGGTGACAAAAAAAATGATTTTTTTTTATAAATTTGAAATATTTTCTTTTTAAAAAAAAATTCGATGGAAGTGGCGCGGGGGAGAAGGAGGATATGGGTGGGGTTGGCATAAAAAAGTTTAAAAAATTTAATTTGATTTTTTTTTTCAAAAATAATTTTTTCTTTAATTTTCTTTTGACGAAAAATGGCATGGGGAAGGGAGTAGGGCTAGGGGGTAGCGTTAAAATGAAAAATTATAAATTTGAAATATTTCTAAAAACAATTTTTTAAAAAATAAATAAATAAAATTGACAGGTATAGCCTGGGTGGGAGGTAGCGTTAGGGGGTTTGGGGGGAGGAGCGAGGTGGCGTAAAAAGTAATTGTTTTTTAAAAATATTTATCAAAATATCTTTTTTGATGAGAATGACTTAGGTGGGGTGGCGGGTAGGGGTAAATATGGCATAAAAATAATAAAAATTTTAATTTAAAATATTTTTCAAAAGCAATTTTTTTCTTACACACACAAAAAAAAAATGCGAATGGCTTGGGTTGGGTGGAGAGTGGGGAAGTAGGGGTGGCGTAAAAAGTGTATCTTTTTAATTTGAAATATTTTTAATTTTTTTTAAAAAAAAAGTATTGACGGGGTGGCGGGGGGAGCTTGGTTATAATTAAAAAAATTAAAATATTTTTCAAAAGCAATGTAGGGAGTAAGGGTGGTAGGATTGGATGAGGTAAAAAAAAATCTTAAAATTTGAAATATTTTTCAAAAATAAATTTTAAGTTTTTAATGACATTGGATATAATGAAAAATAACTAATACTAGTAAATATCTTAGCATATTTGTATGTGTATAATTTTTGTCGCTAAAAGCTGATTTTATTATTGTGATACATTTTTTCACATAATCTACATAATATATTTTTTCAGTTTAGTGGTACCAATTGACACCTTTTAAATACATATTGTTTTGTCATTGATGATGATGAATATTTTCTAAATTTTATGTGCATGAGATTTTAGTGCTAAGCCACGATAGAGGAAGATGGTTGCAGTATGTTGACTATTAATGTAAAACAACTAAATTTGTGATGGAAATAACAAAACAAAGTACTGAGAATCCTTCTAGTTACAACATATATTCACTCAATAGTATTTTATTAATTCACACCGTGATTTCAAGACTTAATCAATAGTATTTAATAACACAACGTGATTTCAAGACTTACTTAGAATATTTTACAAAATCTTTTTTTTGTGAGGGGGTAACTTTTATAGAAAAAATATGAATGTGAATCGTCTTAATCATTTGATATAACATTTAGGGATTCAACAGAACACATATAGTATCTATATTTTTTTCAGTGAACTGGTGATAGTTGACTCTTTTTTAACATATTGGGCTTTGCCACTAATGATGATGTGTATTACTTAAATTTTATGTGCATGAGCTTTTAGTCCTAAAGCTCGATAAAGAAAAATAATTGCAGTAGGCTAACAGTCAATTAAAGACTGGTGAATTTGGTGATGGGAATAACAAAACAAAATATGTCATGTTGTAAGGTTTATATTGTATCATAAGGTACGTATTGATGCTACTTGAAATTTAAGTTTGCGTAAACATTAAGGCCTAATCCCCAGAGGAAAACAATGAATTTAGTGACGGAGATAAGAGAACATAATATGAAAATATATGATTAAGTATATAAAGAGACTCAATATGTAATATATATATATATATATCAATAAAAAATTTCACCTATATACATAATACAATTGAAGTAGGGTCACTATCAATGTAAAGCTGATGAATTTGGTGATGGAAATAACAAAACAAAATATAAAAATCCTTCTAACTATGACATATATTTACTCAATAGTATTCCATTAATTCATAACATGACTTCAGTCATTATTAAAAACATTCTAAAAAAACCAATTATTATTTTTTTGGCGGGGTGGGATTATTTATTTTTAGAAAAAAAAACAGATTTAGATCGTCACTAATCATTTGATAATATTTTAAATAAAGTATTTCGAAAAACTATAACAATATAATTATAACTTCGGATCTTAACACAAAATAAAATATTTACAATTTTTACAATTCAAAATTTGAAACAAAATAGATAAACATTGAAACCTATAAACTAACTTTAAATATATTAACAAAGTAGATTATAAATAATATTTTTTAGTTATAAATAAAATAAAATTATATATATATATATATATATATA